AGCTTCGCATTTGGACTTTATTATTACTTAACATCAGGTGGGGGTCTTCAATGACTCTACATTTGCCTACCTCTATATAAAAAAAAAAAAATGGGTGCGTGTACTTATGTAGGCGCGTGAGAAGTTATCCTTCTTTGGCATCGTTTAAAATTAGTTTTTAATTGCATGCAAATAATTAATAATTACAATAAAATAAAAGGACTGGAAAGGATAGTTAAAATATTCAATTAAAATCACTACTGAATTTAAGTTATTAGTCCATATGTAATTAGCACTTGTAAGTAACTAAAACACGTTGTGTCTATATAGAAACTAAAAACATGTGGATAAATATTATAAATATGAAAACAGTGATCAGAGGCGACGAGCGTGCCAACATTGTTTTTGACAACGCGATCATCTTATGGAGCTCCGTGGATCGTTCAAAGTACCTTTCGAACAGATTCATAACGCGCCCGCGGCCAACTTCATGGTGTTACAGTGATGCGCGCGCATCTCGAAATTTCACTCTCATCATTTTTTCATAACGCGCCCGCGGCTAACTTCATTATGTTACTTTTGTGTTACAGTGATGCGCGCGCATCTTAAAATTTCACTCTCATCATTTTTTCATAACGCGCCTAAAGAAGTATAACTTCAAAAACAAAAAAAGGTAGACTGCAAAGGTAGCTAAGATGTTAATTTATATTTTAAAACACAGCGCATGTATTACCTATCTACCTTAATACACCAACACCCGTGGCTTCAATAATCAAATGATTTTGTCTTAAATAGCTTCTTCGAATCTTCAAGTAATTTAGTTAAAATTAAGTATCACTATATGTGTACTCTGTTTTGTATCACAAACACATTCAATAAGTTTATAATTAATTATATTAAAACTTGTTCGATTCCTTGATAGGTAAGATTTTTTTTTACAATCTGACGATGACTTGGTATTTCTGCAGAATATTATGTTTTTTTTGTTTAGTTATGATTCTTAGCAGTGAGATCGAGAAAAACATATTATGATGAAAATTTTAAGAACAACATCTCTTTTAAATCACCGTTTTATGTCCTGTAAAAATTTCCAACTAGATTTTAATCATGTGCATTTATCAGAAACAAGGAACAACATTAAAGAATCGGTTGTATGATTTGCGATTCCAAAAGCGGGTGATGGAAAAAATCCAATTGTATTCCTTTTTTTAAATTAAACAAAGGTGAATTTAACATTATTAAAAACATTGAAAAAATCGCTCTACATGATCTTTAAAAAAAAACCGACACTAATAGCTTATCCACCATCCAGAGTGAAGTACTGAGGGCTGTGATATGGGGGGATACTAGGGTAACTGATAGAAATACATACAATTCTGCATAGACAAGTAATTTTACGAGAAATGTGCCGTACATAAAATCCGTAGCCTACAATTTGTACCTAGAAAATTAGTAAATCAAATCAAAATATGGGTCAGTAACGAATGCCATAAAATATATGGCTTCTTAACCTCTCGTAACTCTTATACCCGCCCCTGCAGACTGCCATACCGCGCCAGCCCTCTTGGAACTAAGATAAGTACGCCTCTATATTTAACATTATGTATGATATAGGTACAAAAATTATGGTAGGTATTCACCACGAACATTTACTTTCAGATTACTGGCTGTAATCTGAGCATTTGCGCTTAAATACCAGCATAGGCATTCTGAGATATGCTTATAGTAGGAGAGCTACTGAACCCTCCGAGTAACGGTCTGTCTGTAAGGCTAGAAATTTTCATGGTGATGAGTCATAGCTTGCTTAGTACGGTAAGCATCGCCTGGCACTCCTCAGCCCTGCACGTCATCAAGCCGTATATTTTTGAAAGTGTCAAAATATTAAATAAATATTAAAAAAAAAACTTGTTGCTGTAAACTTGATATATATGCAATTTAGTTTATTCATTTTTAAATTTAAAAAAAAATGCCAGGCGTTTACGATGAGCACAAGTACCCGCCAGGCGAACCGGAAGGTGTATAATATATACATAAAAATAAACTTTATTCTGTAAAGTTGAAATTTATATACATATTAGCTGACCCGCCGAACTTCGTACCGCCTTAGCGTAGCTTTGATGCACTACTTTATTTTGTATAGCTGACCTATCTTATGTATGAGTACCTATTCAATTTTTTTATTTTTCTTTATATTTTTTTCCGTAAGAACCTTGTACAGAGTATTAGAAAACTACAAAAAAAATCAGCCAAATCGGTCAAGCCGTTTTCATGTTATGTCGTGACAACGGAAAACGGGTTTCATTTTTATATATATAGATAGATGTGTTTATTTAAGCGATTTAAAGTAAGTAGGTAGAATGCCAGGCGGTTCTGACTAGCACAAGTCCTTGCCAGGCGAGGGGAAAGATGCTGCGGCAATGCGATTAAGAGTCGTCGAATGTCTAAAATGGCAGCTACAGAAATCGGAAGTGATATTTTATTTTACAGAATCTCCCTACAGGATTCGAACCCAGGACCTCAGTCACAGTAGGCTACATACATTTAAACCGCTAAATACATTTATCTATTTATTCATCATTTCCTTGTAAGCTAATTAAGACAAAAGCTTCCATACACTACGGAGGTCGTAGATTGTAACTTATGTTAAGTGATTTTGATTATGAAGATTTTTGCAATGTCATGATTGTGATGACATCAGCACTGTGCGCTTGAGATGATGCCGGCGTAATCAACGATGTGACCCGTCCGGTGGTTTAGTTAGAGATGTTCCCAGGTAGGGTTACCAGATGAAAAAATCAAAAGTCCGGATTTCCATTGAAAAATCCTGAGATTTTTACAGTTTGAGAATTTTCTCCCAAATGTACTTAACAATTTAGAAAAGTCGTAATATTATCGTGTATATACATGCTGCATATACTTTTAATTCAATATAATTTGAAGAGCTCAACATGTCGGGCATTTTATAAATCCATAATTAAAGAAAAAACCTTACATAAAAATGTATCATCACATATAATGTATACACACATGTATGATAAAAGTGATAAAGTACCTACTTGGATAAATAAGTACTGATTTTGCGATTATTTTTAGTTTAAGTTTTTATTAAGCAGATCTTTTAAACGTTAGCTGTATTTTATTGAAAAATCAAGAAATCCTGAGATTAGCAAAATCTAGCCGCAATCCTGAGAAGAGTCCAAAAATCCTGAAATCTCAGGACAAATCCTGAGATATGGTAACCCTATTCCCAGGTGAAGGTCGGTGCAGGGTCATATATATAACTTATTCCAATGGTGCTGTGCAGTGATGGCAAACAAGAGTATAAAAGGTGCGGCATAATAAAAAAGATTTATTTATTTTCATGCATAGCAAAGACACTCGTATTCATACTGCCTACCCTTAAAATCCAATATTATAATTGTCAAATAATTTTTTTTTTAGTAAATAATATCAATCAATATGTTCAAATTATAGTAAACTGTGTTGTATTGTATTACATTCAAAGAGCTCGAGGACTGATAACCTGGAACACGGATTTTTTCCTAGTTTAGGTGTCAGCCCGCCATAATTATACAAGTGACCTTTATACTTAGTGTTTTTAATGGAATAAGAAACTGATTATGGTGAGAAATAAAGAATAATAAGTATTATCATACATTTAAGACACAAGAAAGATAAGGGGAAATTCGATAAGTAATACTCAAATAATTAGGATGGATATCCTGTTTAAACGCAAATTTATCGAATTATGCGTTTGAAATACCTGTACCCTTAGTACGAGTTTGAGCTCACGAAAATTATCGCAGTTTTCGTAAATGTAAATTATGTTTCTATGTCCATTTTGGTGAAAAGTAACCAAATGTACTTGAAATTTAAGAAAACGCAAATGATTTAATGATGGAATTTAAACATTGTTTATTTGTATTGAAACGAAAACAATAAAATCAGTACCCTTAGTACGAGTGCCAGCTCACGTAAACTATCATAGTTTTCGTAATTGTAAAACTCGTTCTAAGTGTACTGGTTTAATAAGATTGTAATGTCAGTATTACAAGAAACTTACTTCACTAGCTAACAGGATACAAGTAATTGTCTAAACCTCAGGATTGAGGCACTCTTATGCTGAAATACAGAATGAAAATCCTAGTTCCGCAGCAGTTGCTAAAGATTGTCTTTTATATTCTTAAGCTCATTTATGGTGTCTATCTTTATATATATAATTCTTCTGTGAGTGTGTATGTCACTGAACTTCTCTTAAACGACTGGACCGATTTTGATGAAATTTTTTGTGTGTGTTCAAGGGGATCTGAGAATGGTTTAGATTCACAATTTTGTCCGCTGGACAACCCCTATTTTTTTAGGGCGGTACGAAGTTCGCTGGGTCAGCTAGTAGTTTATAAGACGTAATGTTACTTATATGCTGGTCTAAATAAAGATTCTCATAAAGATAAAGATTAAAGATGTGACCATTATTATTGAGTTTACATTTTACTATAATAAGCATAACTTTAATTTGTGTGTGGTCCAATAAATTAAAAAAACACAAGTTTTTATAATTAAGTAATAAACAAATGCTGACGTAGGTATCAGATATTTATACTATACTTACTTTATTACTTATGCTTTCTAACCGGTATAAGCAGGAAACAGAAAAACCGGCCATTTTCGTATAGTTAAGAGTTACATTTAGGTTATTCTTTATGTAAATCGATGTTGTTATGCAAATTTAACTGAATTCCAATTGTATTGGCTCGAACCACATTCTTTCAATTATCCCATATAAACTACATGTAAACAGTAAAAAAAAATGGTCTAAATTTATAATAGGTACTTCAAATAACTTAGCAGGTATTATGGTACTCGTATAAATACAATGTTATTTTTAAAGCTTAAATAAATTGTTGCGTACGTCTATGATAAATTTATATTTTATGCTGACACGATTTGAATAATCCAATCGACGTGTTGGATGGTAGAACGTGTTTTAGGCGAATTTTTTTGTTTGATATTAAAATCGTTAGAGACGTCACTCGTTCGGCGACACCAAGGGCGCTTATCTTCGGCTGTGGCCGCAGAAAACTGTTCACATCGACGCGATGCGGCGTGCGCGCGCGCACTCCCGGCCACGACCGGCACTCGGGCTGTTGCTGCTTCTATTCCTTGTCTATGGAGACGGAGTAAGAGCTGAAACCCTGGTGGGCACCCTGGGAGCCTTCCTACCTCCGTTCCTGCGTAATAACTTCGATGACCTGGTGAAGACTGCATCTGATAGTTGTGCGTCGCATTTGTGCTTATTTAATAGTGTTGGTGATACAGTACAATCTCACTAATCCGGCACTATTAAAAACCGGAGCCGGATTATTGGAATGTTCGGATTACTGAATTATAGTGAAAAAGTCGTAGGTAACGAATAAAGTAAAGCATTTCAAAGATGGAATAAATTTATGTATTAATTTAACAAGTACATACAATTACAATTTAAAATAATTCTTAATTGTGGTCTGCTTTTGTGCAAATGTAGTCCCTGCTTAAAACCCTTTTCTCGCAGAGTAGAGGGGTGAGGGAGGCATGGGCGGAGGGTGCCGGATTATCGGACGTGCCGATCTATCGAAGTGCCGGATTAGAGAGATTATGCTGTAATATGTTATAGATCTGAAGTGATGTGTTACTGATGTACATAATAATGCTGGATAGTGTTCAGTAACCAGTCGATATTGCCCAATGTATTATTTGTTTTTGTACTTAATAAGTGACGTTAGCGTAGGCCGTGTGGTGCAGACACGGTCGCGGATTCCGTTCCTTACGACGTTTAATATTCAGTTTGTTATGGATTGACCAAGGTAAAAGAGGTATTTGCGAAATGCTTAGGTGTTCACGAACATCGGTTTTCTTTGGGTTTATTCAAAATGGGACTAGAATTTCCTTGAAATTAAAAACTCGTTCGTTGTGAACGTGATTTTATATAAACAATCCATTTAACAATAAAAATAAACATATTAGTAGGTAGTATATGACATTTGAATATTTTATCAAAATGCCAATGGTAGTAGAATACCTATCACTAAAGACTGTCGATCAGAGATTTGTTTTAAATGGCAACATCAATATATTTTTTTTGAAAAAACTTTAGGTTTGCCATTTCGAATTAAATAAATTCAACAAACGTACCTATGCTAAGATTAAGTACGAGCAAACGTTTTATTTTGAAATAATCGCGGATTTAGGCATGTTTAATTTTAGGCGGAACAATGATGATGTGACCTCAACTACAGGAAGCACAATGCTAACATCAGCAATCTTGCTGTTTGAATGAATTGTAACCACACGGTTGATCATAATCTGTGGTAAAAAAATAACGCATTGTCAAATATTCCTAACGGTATACTTTATTGAGGTAGAAACACAGGATTTTTTGATGACCTCCATGGCCGAGTAATTTGTACGCCGGGATTCAAGGTGTCGCTTACTCGTGAGGTCCCGGGTTCGAATCCCGGTGGGGGCAGATGTTTATGTATGAATTCGAGCATTTCTACTCCAGTCATGGATGTATAATATGTATGTCTATATAAATACACTTAATAAAATGTATCACTATATGTATTCTATCCGTTACCCTAGTATCCCTTAACACAAGCCTACAGTGCTTACTTTACTTTAGGGCTAGCCTAATTGGTGTGTGTTGGAAACATTTTATTTACCTATTTATTTTGTGTTACTGCTAATATAACAATAACAAAAAAATAATCTTAGATTCTAAGTTCTCCGTACGTACTTTTGTGATAGTAATTAAGAAGGTGGTAGGATAAAGCGGATTACCCGCTCAAATCGGAGCGCCTTCTGTTTTGGGAAGTAGTCTTACAATCACAACAGAAAAATAACATTGCGTTTTTATGGTGTGTTTCTGTCAGTGAGTTAGATTTCCAGGACTCCACGGGGTACGGGGATACGGTCAGGGTAGGTACCGCTCGAGTAAAGCTATCGCCAGTAAAAGGTCCTCTTCCCCATGAATTAGCGGGTATTATACACATGTATAACTATCCAGAATTCTTAGTGTTGTTTCTTTCCACGTCTACATAGACGTATTTTCTTCTATGGAACTTTATGGAAACTTTATTCTATGGAACTATGATATAGTGATTAATAGGATAGATTATATTATTATCCTGACCTGAGTACGTATCTACATACAAGCCTATTTCTTGATGCATTTTTTTACATCAGTTAAGCATTATTATGACTAGGTACACTGATATTTTATAACTTTAAGTAGATATCACGTATAATGTTATAACTTAGGTACTTATTAAACTTACATTTAATACAATAATAAACGTGTTGTGTTGTGGTAGTTATTTAGTGCCGCATTAATTTCTGCATACATACTACATTTGTGTGGAACATCTGAAGCATTTTTCATTTAGGAATTCTTAAATTTAACATCCACATATCCCACGATAATTTACTGCATTCCATCTATTGTGGAGTTGTTATTTTACGCATTGCCATAAAAAACTGTCCAATTCAAATAAGGCCTATCAAAGGTCAATTTGATATTTCAAGAAATATTTTGTCATTTAGATTTGATAAAGTGAAACATGTTATGAACAATAATATGAAACATGCAATCTTACTATTTTAGGCCCTTGAACTTTACTCACCTTGACTTTAACGGTTAGGTGAAAAATTTAATTTAATTATTACATAAACTCTTATTTTATTTCACCCTCGCCAAGAATTACCCGACAAAATACTTTTTGTCCTGCGGAAATACTGCTTTTCTTATTCTTGCTGAGTTTCATGCCGGTTCTTCTCGGTACAAGGTCTCCCGCGCTAGATTTACGAACCGATGGCGTAACTTCTAGACATTCATGAGTGCTTGTAACAGCCTAAACTAAATAAATTATTTGAACGATTGATTATTCTTTATCAAAATTTCATCAAAATCTGTCAAGTAAGCGGTGTGGATGTAATAGAGAAATAGAGTTTAATTTGTTGGTCTATTACTTACAATTTGGTATTCTCGAATCCGCTCTAACCTATAGCGCACTTTAATTGTTCCAGGTGAAATCCTCCCGCTGGAGATCCTGTACTCCCGCCAGTACACCATCGAGCTGCCCCTCGTGTACCTGCTGGAGTACACGCGCTTCAAGAACCGCACCTACCGCCTGCCCACCGCACACCTGCACATCAAGCTCAAGCCCGCCCGGCCCCTGGTGCTCTACGTGCCGGGCTGGTGGAACACTCCGACCGACGAGTCATCCCAGGCCATCGTCAAAGCCTTGCTCATCAAACATCCCACAGTCTTGGTCCTCGACACCAGTGCGAGCTTCAGCCGCGGGTACGTCTCCGCCGCTTCGAGAGTCAATCCTCTCGCCAACCTTATTTACGATTTCATCGAAAACGTACGCGACAAAGGTGTGTCACTCTCTTCGATCCATCTCGTCGGCTTCAGCCTCGGAGCCCACGTGGTCGGGATCACAGGTAAACTGGTGAAGAAGAACCTCGACGACACCATCGGCAAGATAACCGCCTTAGATCCGGCCAAACCTTGCTTCAAGAACTCCTTGGAGTACAGGCTGGATAAGGAGGATGCTGATTTCGTTCAGGTGGTGCACTCGAGTGCCGGGGTGCTGGGGCTGGAACAGCCGGTGGGGCACGTGGACGTGTACATGAACGGCGTGGCCGGCAAGCAGCCCGAGTGCATGGACAAAGGCATCACCATAGAATGCGACCACGCGCAGTCCTGGAAGGTATATGCGGCTTCCGTGATGGATGAGGCGGCGATGATGGGGCGCCGCTGCCGGGACTGGAACGAGCTGGTGGGCGGGAAGTGCAATGGGTCGATGACTGCTGTGGGCTACAGCTGTGCCCGGTCAGCCCGGGGGCTGTTCCTGTATAAGTCCCGCCGCGTGAAGAGGACTCAGGCTCAACCCAAAATGAAAGTGTTCAACCTTTTCGACCTGCGCACCTGGTGGGTTTAATCTTGATCAGCGTTGAGAATCGATAACTTGATGATAACTGTGATATTAAATAAGATTTAATAAATTATTTTTATATTATTAAATTAATTTGTTTTTACTACTAGCAGCGCCTCTAGCGGCGAATTTAATGCTTGCGTCCAAAAAAATCTAATAACAAACGTTTTCCTGACAATAACGAACACAATAAATATATAGTTGTTTATGACACACATACGGGAAGTAGGTTTTTAAGAACGAGTACCACATAGTGAAAAATCTGGTAAAATACGAGTCGGACTTGCTCACGAAGGGTTCCGTACAAACAAACCGTTAAAAGAAAAATATTTTTTTGCTTTTCACAACTTACTTTATATATTATAGTAATATAAGTTATTTACGGGATTGTTACCATGTACCTTGTTTTTGGTAACAATCCCGTAAATAACTTGTATTACTATAATGTTAGTGACCATGAAAGTTTAAAACAATATATTACTTTATATAAAACATGAGTGTCTTCCTTGTGTAGTGAGAACGAAAGTGTGCTAAAAAAATGTTTTTTATCTACAAATATCTACTCTGTCTGAATTCAAAAAACGCTCTCGCCTAAAAAATTGTTATTTGCTCCTTTAGTAAACAATCACTCCAACTGAATATTCCACGACACTTGCGGTTTTTTATACTTATTTTAAATCACATATTTTATCCGTACTAGTGGCAGAGGAGCTCTATGGCGCTGGTAGATAACACGTTTGGCCTGCGATCGTGGAATTAAAGTAACTTTAGCAATGGTCGGCCATTGGATGGGTAACCAGCTTATTATCTCGAGCTCCTCCGTGTTTCGGGAGTAACGTTACGCTGTTGGTCTCGACTGCATTCGCAGTCATTAGCACACACCAATCTGCACTGGGCCCGCGTGTTGAATCACAACCAGTGTTGCCAACTCTACGTCTTTTTACGTAGATCTACGTATTTTAGGCCTTTTTTGCAAACCTACTAACTTCAGTCTCAAAATCTACGTATTTTCTTTAATTTGTACAAATTTGCAAAATAACATAACTATATAACTAGAATACGGAAGCATATTTTCCGTTACTTATAAACTATACAAATGTTTATTTCTTATAGTTTTTGGTACGAGGAACTTAAATACATCGATTTCACTTCATAAAATCAGAAGATGGCTGTAGTAATCTAATTTAAAAAAAAAAAATTTAGTCTGTACTTTTTAAACACTGAAAACGCTGTCCGCCATGATTGTGACGGCACAAAATTTGTAAACAACTAAACGTCGTTGTTGTGTTACTATGGTTTCTTTCGTCGGATTAAAATATATCTAAAGACTCTTATATCTTGTAGAAGAGTTTCCGTTTATTGAAGTTATACTTCTTTAGCCGCGTTATGAAAAAAATATGAGAGTGAAATTTTAAGATGCGCGCGCATCACTGTAACACAAAAGTAACATAATGAAGTTAGCCGCGGGCGCGTTATGAAAAAATCATGTGAGTGAAATTTCGAGATGCGCGCGCATCACTGTAACACAATAGTAACACCATGAAGTTGGCCGCGGGCGCGTTATGAATGTTAGTGTCTAATAATTAAATTAAATTAAATTGTAACCACTTAGTGGTTAATAATCCACCATTATTAGACATCTGTTCGAAAGGTACTTTGAACGATCCACGGAGCTCCATAAGATGATCGCGTTGTCAAAAACAATGTTGGCACGCTCGTCGCCTCTGATCACTGTTTTCATATTTATAATATTTATCCACATGTTTTTAGTTTCTATATAGACACAACGTGTTTTAGTTACTTTACAAGTGCTAATTACATATGGACTAATAACTTAAATTCAGTAGTGATTTAAATTGAATATTTTGATTATTTATAAAATTTTTCAAATTAAAACTGATCTTTATTGACTGCGTTGACTATCCTTTTCCAATCCTTTTATTATCTTATTGTAATTAATTATCTGCATGCAATTAAAAACTATTTTTTAATAATTCCAAAAAGAAGTATAACTTCTCACGCGCGTACTTAAGTACACGCACCCATATTTTTTGGTTTTGTTGACTAAATTAATGCTGGACGCCAAATTTGTAAAAGCAGAAACGACAAAGCTCTCTTACTTAGTAAATAAAATAAAAAAAAAAAACTTAAAATATTATTGCATTACACCGAAGTGATCTTTGCAAAAAGAAATGACTTTCAGTCGATAAAGTTACAGGATTTAGCAAGTTTTAAACATGTGTTCATGTGTAGATATGTTTATTTCTCTGGGCAATTTAAACCACAACTTTTCTGGAGTCTTTAACGTTGTGATTCTACATTCTCGCTAATCATGATAATTACTACAATACATTTTTTTCGGTCTAATATAACAATTATTAACCATTTAAAACATATTTTCAAAGTGTCAACTACCCTATTTGATAACAGTGTATTCTTGTCATTCTTTATACAGAATGAAAAGGAGAGACTGATGTTCAATTTAGTGCTAAGTTTAGAGAATTATGCCAAAATTGACACCTAGCAGCGTCTGTGTCTGATGGTAAATGTCTACCACAGCATGGTAAATGCTGCCAATGTAGCGTCTTCTCCAAGAATTCTATGTTCTATCTCCTTTTTTTAAATAAATTGTATAACAAAATATAACGAACTTCTCTAAGAGAAAAATACGTAGATCTACGAACTTTTCATATGCAAATTTTACTAATTCTACGTAATTTTGTCATCGGGCCTACGCCTTTTTCAAAATCAGAGTTGGCAACACTGATAACAACCCAATTTATTGCATTATATTCTATCCATAACTGCCCCAGCAGTGGTGCCATTAATAAGCCGGTGATGATGACACTATACCAACTCGGAAAGGATATCGACTTAGATTCGCTAAGATACCTGTTTCCAGTGGTTGCCACTCACGGAGACATATAAAATTGTCTCAACCACATTTTTTATGACAGCGTCAAAAGAAACAATATCGTCACGGAACATCAAAACTGGAGCCGTACGAAGGTACCTATGTAATAGTTATGTTTTTATTTTTTTTAAGCATTTAACTGCTAGATGTTTAAATCTAAAGAAAAGTATTACTAGAAAAAAAACCACGCGGGCCTGGCAGCGGACGGGACTCGAACCCGCACCCTTCGCAATCCGGGCGAATGCACTGACCAATTATGCTACCACGGCCCCGATGGCCGCGTCAAAATTTTTCAAGCCTTAAGCTGCAAGGCAGCGCTATCGCTTTGCATTGTAGGTAACCCACAATGTCAAATGAATACTTTTTCAAGTATTAAACATTTGAAAGAAGAAATAGCAATTACTTATAGTTATGTTTTTATTTTTTTTAAGCATTGAACTGCTAGATGTTCAAATCTAAAGAAAAGTATTCCTAGAAAAAAAATCTAGTACTTAATACTTTTCTTTAGAGGTATGTTATTTTTGGGACGGCAAAGTACTTCTGCAAAAGGACCAGAGCAGCGTGCGGAGCAGTGGCCTTTAGACGCTGGCTGGCCAGCAAGAGAACAACCCTACGAGTTTTCATGGCCTCCGGGACTGCAGATGGAAAAACAGGAACACCAAACAAATTAAAAGAACCTTTATTGAGTTCTTTGAGGCCCGGAACCAAAGTAGTGAAAGACTAGAAGGATGGAGATGACACCGAACTACAGGGAAAGAACTCGCATTTGGCAGAATTTACCTCTAGGCCTAACCCCAGACGAGGTAATAAGAAAGCTAAGTCAATTTCCACTTCTGGTTTACACCCAATGGTAAAATCATTTAGGTACCAGATGTTAATGGCGATTTCAGCTCGGTGATCATCTTGTGAATGGCAAGGCTAAAGCTAGAGCAGTAGAGGCAGATGCAGAGCTAGATATATCACCTCCTTCAAATGGGCAGGACGGATGCCATATAAGCCAGCAGCAGATCCATTATAGAAAGATTTAACAGCCAGCACCACATCCTACTCCGTTACTAACTACCCCGGAGTGCAGGAGACCGGCTCCGGCGGAAGACTGGCCGGATGCGGGTGTTTTGACTGCATATTAGGATAATGGGGCCTCTGGGGGTCCCGTTTGGTGATTTACCAGGAACTAAGGACATTGTATTTGAGCTGAGGGGGGCCCTATCGATCGCGGGGCCCTGGGCACTTGTCCAAAGTGCCCATTGGGAAAGAGGGGTCTGAGAGCAGCAATTCTTTGATTATAATTTGTATTAAAGTTGGTGCAGTTAATACTAAACTTTTGTCCGGGAGCTTTAAATAGGTTCTCATTGACTGCTTATGTAGTTTCATTGTGACGATGTCAGTAAATTATATTTTCAATTAAAATATAATAATCAGCGCGCTTTTTTCCTTTCTTTAAATGAAATCTATATTTAAAAATCTAATAGCATAATATGAAAAAAAATATTCGAAAGTCTACCAATTCATACTGAAAACTTTCTTTAGCGGAATATAAATAAAAAAAAAATATTAGAAAAAAAACAGCACATTAACAACTTAGAGCATTTATACCTATATATATATATATATTATATACTATACCTATATACTATATTATATAGGTATAAATGCTCTAAGCTTAATCATGACTTTCGTTAGACATTTCCGCCCGCTCACCGCGTTAAAAATGGATTTCCATACAATGTTCCACTTAGAGGGTCTATGACTGTTCCAGCTCGCTTAGTAAATACAGCAGTAATGAGGAATTTCCTGCTTCATTTTTAAAACAACAATAAAGCACTTTCCGAGCAGATTTAGTATAAAATATTATTTAATTATATACCAAAACCAATGTTCTTGTTAAGATTTACAAGAAATAAAGTATAATAGTTTAGGTCTGAGAAGTTAATAAACAGTATTATAGAAAAATTTACAGTACATTTTCGATATTTGTTTTTTATATTTTGTAGACATGTTTTTCATGGCTTCTCGTAGATTTTATCAATTATTTAATAATATTATCTCTGAATCAGTATTTTGTTTACTTTATTTTTGTTCAACTGGTTTGTAACAGTATCATTGGGAACCCTTGGAAAAGGTAAAAACCCTATGTGGTACTTAGACGGTAGGTCTGCTTGAAGACGCAACATTAAGACTAGAGTATCAAATTATTAGGATTTCCCAAAAACTGGAATAACCTCATAAAATTATCCTTATTTGCCAACGAAGTAAATTATAATTTACTAGCAAATGTACAAAACATTATAACTGCTATAGACATCTAGCTATCCACGATACATTTAACACCATCTACGCATTGTAAAAAAGCATTCAAGCACGTGCTTTTCACTGCAGCGTTCTTGTTCACTAGGTCCAAATGGTTCCGTTGAGTGCGCCTAGATGGCGCTGTAGCGTAACATTGCAGTAACGTCCATTCGCACGGTATTCACCTGTTTCATGGTGTTTAATTTTTGATAAACAGTGATGGCACTTTCGTGGATTTACACAAAATATTCATAATAAACTCAAATCCATGATAACTTTGGATACGTATCAGTGACAATAGTCAGGTAGCGTACTCTGTAGTGAAGACACGAAAACAATACACTATGCATACCTACGTGTGTTGTTGCCAATCGAGCCGTGTTCCCCGCGGAGGGGGAACATTTAATCGGGTGTCGCAAGCACGGAACGACAGACGCGCGCATATTCGTTCGAAGCTATTTTTTTTCACAGTGAACTAGTATTGTTTTATTGTATGTAGATTGAACAATGGCATCGAAAGAAGAGAAGGAAGTTAAGGTTAAAAAGTATTGCTCAGCGTTTAACTGCATGAACACGAACAAAACTCCAGACATTTCTTTCTTTACGCTGCCTAGAGACGTCGAGAGGTAAGATTATGACATACTTATTCACTTAAAATTAGTTATCAATATTGTTTTTGATTGGAGATAATTTGATTTAAGGCCCGTATTTACTTTAGTTGTCATTCTGTAAGGACCTCGGACCTTAGGCCCGTATTACAGAATGACAACTGAGTGTTGATCTTTACTTGAGTACAGTTAGAAAGGGATGTCGCTATGTGCTATATATAGCGACATCCTTTTCTAACTATGCTCAAGACTAGATCAATCAAATTACTGAGAATCTTTCTTTAATACGGGTCTAAGTCTTTCAAGAGTATAAGTGTGTAATGATAATGGACTGAAAATATTTGTGTTTGGTATTTTGACAGCAGTATATGCCTATCCTTATCAGCTGTATAAGGAATAAATGAAAAGGAGAGACTGTTTGACTCTCTCCTTTTAATTTACGAATATCCATGTGAAGTTTACAAGGAGATACAAGTTTTTTTTAATACACGGTATTTTATTAATCTTATGTATGATTGCTGAACATGTATTATGCTCTTATGCTAGATAATATGTAATTAAGTCCCACGTATAAGTGTTATGAGTAACCTCTACGATGTTATGTTTTGGGGACAAAAAATACTTTTTTAGAGGAACAGTGACTATTATCTAGTTAGTAAATGCTGTGAATTGAGTACGGTACCCCTAGCACGAACCATTATCGAATTCTAATAGTTTGCGAGTGCGATATGTCAATGTCAAATTTTATATGGAAACTTGAACAGCAGCGCCACAAAGTACGTAACGAGAAAAATCAGTACACATTTGACAATGACATTGCGGACTCGCAAACGTTACGAATTCGATATTGGTTCGTGCTAAGGGTACGGAACAGATTTTGTTGTGCTTGTATGAGAACAAGTTGAACAAAATTATTTTCACTTTAGGGCGAAGCACAGACAAACAAACTATGTATTTATAGATCACGGGCGCTGCGCCGGCGCCGGCGCCGTGGATGGTAGTGAAGAGATACGAAAAGGCCTAATGGCCCCGGGATAATATTTTGCTCAAACTGTTATGTTTTTTTATGTTGCTTTTATGCTAATAAATGTATCAATATACCTAATATGTAAAGATAAATTATGTTCTAAAGTTAATTTGTATTGTGTCACATTAAGTTTTACTAGCAAACCAGTGAACCAAATGTTCACCAAAAAAAAATAATGTATTTAATTAATTGAGAACTTCGGAGATTTTGTGTGGTTTCGTTTGAAATAGAAATCACGTGATTTCTCGAAAACCGGAAGTGCTATGTTACTCACATCCGGTTTGTAGTCTTATCAGACTGTTCTTAACTTATAACTTAAACATTCTCTATATCTATCTCTTACGGTTTGGCCGCTGAAACAGCACCACGGACGGACGGACGGACGGACTTGTCTAATAGATAAGAGATGATAGGCGTTAACTGGTGTCGATTCTGGCGTGATTCTCTAAACTTAAAACTAAATTTAACATCAATATCTTCGTTTCATTCCTCAAAGAGAATGACAAGGATACACTGTTGTTAAATTTAAGTTTAGGTTTAGAGAATCGTGTCAGAATTGACACCACTATCTGCTTTTACTGGGAAGAAGACAAAAAGCGCGTTCTAGATTTTTCTTTTGATCCCAGTCCCACAGCATGGGATATTTTTATAAATAATTAAACATTATTTTCTAGTAGATACCTAACCCGTAAAAGCAAAGATGGTCGATGGAAATTAATCTGTCTTTTACTTCAGATGAACTTCTTTTATTAATTCAGTTTGTTTAGTTGCCTTAAATGGAATAATATGTTATTTTTTATTTTAGGCGTCGACAATGGCTAAGAGCCATAGACAGGGAAGATTTATTGGAAAAAGAAAACTTAAAAATTACCAGTTATGTGGTCTGCTCGGCGCATTTCGAACAATCTGACATATTAATGGTGCCGAAACTGAAAGACACCGCGGTCCCAACGTTATCACTGTACAAATTGAGGAGAGGAGAGGAGGAAGTAGAGAAACTCTCACCAAAGTGTTCCAGAAAATTCACAACACCAACGACGACCTTGTGCACCGACGTCAAAATAGAAATAGAAATTGAGCCCATTGACGAAGAAACACAAGAATTGCTAGCGATGCAAGAGGAAGCTCCGCCAACGCAACCACCAGCCACTGTGAAGAATTTAATAAAACGTAAACTAATGAATAAAAGAACTGAACCCGTAGTACCAAAATTAAAAATTCAACGATTAACTAGAAAAATTAAACAAGAGAAAGAATAGGATAACAGAGAGTGTGCCAATATAGTTAGCAGGTGATAATAAGTCATTGATGATAAAAGTTAATATTGTGCAGTCGATAATTTAATAGGGTATTTGACAAGTTTTAGAAAACGATCTCACGTTATTGACTAATGTTTATGGAGTCCGTATAAAATGGATATTCATCATTCTGTTGTGTATTTCAGTAAAAATAACTAAATCAAAAACTCCGTCACACGATATGGCGTCTTACTAGTGTGTGACGTCACACGACTGTTACTAAAACGTCAAACGATACAATGTAATGTCACTTTAACCGGAAGTTTACTTGCGTGTGACGTCATTTTAGGCTTCGCCAATCCCAAGCGTTTTTGGTCACGTGACAATAGATAAGAAGACTATTACCTTTTTCGTGGGTTTTTAGTAAAATGATGAATATTTTTTTTGTAAAAAAAATAATGGTTGCCTGTAAAGTCGGTTTTATGGGCGAAGATTTTACGTGACAACGTCTTTTTCTCGGTAGAATATTTATTGATATGAATATAATTAAATTGCACAATAGGAACAAGGAATTGAATGAAAATAAGAATTGCACAAATTTTAACTATAGAAATATATATAATACGTCAAAAAAACATATTACAATGCATTGTGCTTGTGAATACCATCGTAGCATGCAACCACGCTACGACGATTCGTAGCAAACTTGCTACACGGCTACGGGGTTCCAGCATGCTACGAGACTCATCGTAACGTTACCGAGCGTTACACTTTTTCATAAGTGACTCCCAGCCGCAACCTAATTTAAGACGTTGTCACGTCAATAGTAAAAACCCCTGCCAATATTCATTCTAAACACAGATGCTAACAATTGGCACTTTATTTTTAATACTGTCAAATACCCTATAAAACCCTAATATACCTAATATTTAATAATACCCTATTGATAATAATATGTTACTTATTGTAGGTATAGAAAATGTACGTGTGTTTGTGTCACATACCAAAGATGTTGCTGCCGAAGATGAATGCAGCACCACACCACGTGCGTTACATTAAGTGCGAAGTTGTAAAAATTATAATTGTTAATAGTTATTATGTAAATACAATCATTTACTTTAGTTTTAGACAAAGAGAAGCTTACGTTTGCACCAAGACTTTGATTATTAACTAGTTTTATGAGTTTTTGGTTCGTATTATAGAAAGATTCTTAGTAATTAATCTAGTTTTGAGAACAGAAAGGGATGTCGCTATATATAGCACATAGCGACATCCCTTTCTAACTGTACTCAAGTGAAGATCAACACCTAGTTGTCATTCTGTAATACGGGCCTTAATCAGAATATAATAGTGCACTGTTTTGATTTGATTTGTAAATATTTTTCATACAAAGAAAGATAGATAGAAAAAATTGGATTGTGGCGATTTTGAATGCTGCCATTAAAATTAACTTGTTATTTAAATAAATTGTTTTATTAATCATAGTTATTTACGGAGTTGCTCCCATGTACCTTGTTTTTTGTGCGTCTCCGATATTTCGGCACTGCGGCTGCCCAAAACCAAAACACAGTAAGCCCCATTTGGAAAATTTTACAGGACGAGCAGAAATGTGTTTATGCGTGTCTTTAGCATATTTCAACGTAGTGTAATAAAGTGTTATACATCAATCAAAGCGTAATTTATTGCCTGTTATTGATGTGTAACATCTTTCCTCTCGCTTTCCTGCAATTTGTGGGAGTAATTTCGTGAAATGGGACGGAAATGTGTAATAGGAAGTCGCGAAAGCGCGCGCTATTTGATTTGATTTTAGAACATAATGTTCAAATAGCTTATTCCTTTTGTAGTAGGTTTTATTTCTTTTTATACTAATATAAGGTGAGGTTTCGAATGTTACACATCATACGCGACTACTGTAAGGCTCGTTCGTTTTTTTCATTTTTTTTTCATAATGTATTTAAAACGCTTTAGCGTTAAAAAGATTACAAAACATAAATACATTTTTTTTTCTACCTAGTATGGAACAAATAATTGTTCTTCTGATTAGTACCGGACTGAAAAAGAACGCAAAACACAGTCTCTTATTCCAGTCTTAAAACAACAGATTAAAGAAATTAAATTAAATTATAAAATTAGAAAACGAAAATCAGATTAGGCTTTACTGTGTTTTGGTTTTGGGCAGCCGACTGTTGCACGGTGTAACTTCGTGCGCTTGCAACAATGCCGAAATATATCTTAATCTCGTTAACTACTTAAAATAGTGTTAGTGAACATTGAAGTTTAAAACAATCTATCCTTTTATTGAATTAGGTACCTGATCATTTTGTACTGTTACCAAGCAATATTTTTCTAAGTTATTTAGTATAATTCATGATAAACTGTAATTAATTGCTTTTTCATGTTAAACTGAACAAAGAAATATAGAAGGAAGAACTTAAAAAACTCATCGAGGAAAATATGTAGTAAGAAGTCTATTGAACAGGTAGCCTTGTCCAACAAGTCAACTTTGAATTTCTGTTTGGAGAAAACTTTTTGTTATAAAAGAACATGCAAAATAAATGACATACAAATTTGAAGTAATTCATGCGCGACATACTAGATGGCGCTATAAGTGAAAAATTTGATTACAAGAGCTTTTCTAGTTTATTTTTCAATGACGCTGCCAAATTCTCGACGAGCATTCACTGACCCGTTTACAGAATAAAAAAAAAACTTTAATTATGAAGGAAAAAGCTTCTTGCCGTCGATAACCGTGCTTGGAGGGTGTTTTTAACGATGTCTAATATTTCATCGACATAGGAACCCCATACCCGCGTCAACGGATAGCTTTTTGTACACAATTAATGGAGTTCCCGCCAAAGTCACGACTCACTCGTCGGGAAGGAAAAAACAACAGCGTAACGAGCGATGGAGCGTTTCAATTTGACAAGCGAGCACAGCGAGCGAGAGTAAACATGCATTGGTGCCGTGACGGGTTGGCTAGGGGCCGGGATTCGTGTTTTCTTTTTTAAATTCCGGAATTTTCGGCTTTAGGTGCGTCTTTAAACAACAGGCATTTCGTCAGTCACCAAATCGGGGTGGCGCTGGCGATCCTTAGAAATTAGCAAATAATCGTAAGACAGCGGCGTTTCAATGGTAATGGCATTTCTATACAGTCTTGTCTTGATAAGTTCTGATGAGTTTCTTGCACACATTCTTCTAATCAGCTAAATGATGTCCTGAATAGGTGGTACGAAGATTAGTAGAGAATCTCTACTAATCTTCGTACATATGTATATAAGTATATTTATATAGAAATACCTACATATTGAACATCCATACTGAAGTATAAATGCTCGTATTGATCACACAAACATCTGCCCCCACCGGGATTCGAACCCGGGGACCTCTCGAGTCGGCGACACCATGAAACCCAACGTACAAACCACTCGGCCACAGAGGTCGTCAAATATTGATTTATTGAAAGATCATTTGAAGCGTCCAATATCTCTAGTCGCCGACTCGAGAGGTCCCGGGTTCGAATCCCGGTGCGGGCAGATGTTTGTGTGATCAATACGAGCATTAATTGTACTCCAGTATGGATGTTTAATATGTATTTCTATATAAATATACTTATATACATATGTACTATATGTATTCTATCCGTTACCCAAGTATCCCTTAACATAAACCTTGGTGTGAGTGTCGTAAATATTTATTTCTTTTACATATGAATAAAACAACAACATCCCCAGGTTACACGTAAGGGAGCTACCCTCAAGAAAAATATTTTTCAAATTATATTCTACCATTTTGCCGGCGCGATTGATTGACACTACAAAATTACAGCTATCTAGTGCTAACAGTCTTCAAGCAAAACCGGGGACGGACGGACATGACGAAACTATAAGAGTTTTCTTGTCATTACTACGGAATCCTAAAAACTAAAATAAACGTGAACCAAGTCGCGGACGGTCGCTAGTACATTATCATTATATTTGTAACTTATGCATTAATTACCTTTACGCCAACGAAGTTATTTACGCGGATAATTTTTAATTTATCACTATATAGTATAAAACATTTAAATCTTAAATCTTTGAAACTACGCAACGGATTTTGATGCGGTTTTTTTAAATAGATAGAGTGATTCAAGAGGAAGGTTTATATGTATAATACATGCATAATATAGAAGAGAAACACTGATAATTTTAGAGGTTTTTAATGTAAGGTCGTAAATAAACACTTTTTTTGCGCTTACATTGCAAACGCTGGCTGAACCCCACGAGATAGATCAAAATAATGTACTACAGTATTGTACACCTTAAAAAGGTCTACAAAAAAGTCCGCGATGGTATATGTCTATCTCTTAAGGATAACCCACAATAACCAATTTTTATCCTTTACTTTTTACGAGAAATAATAGATTATTTACGAAGCGATTTTAAGCAATATAACATTCATCCTTATCCAATTAAGTACCTTAAATACATTGTGCATTTAATATAGAACAATTTGGCCCTTTAACGCATATAATTTAAATGAATATTTTCGAAGATTCAGGGACATAGCGGTTCCGACGCTACCGGGCTTGGCGGCGCGTGCCTATTGTAATTGGGTATTAGAAGAATGTCATTGTGTATAAATACAAGCCTGAGAACAAAAACTATAGTTCTACACTACAGCTTTACACCGAAGCGAAGCGAGGGCGGGCCACTAGTTGTCAATAAATTATAATTATACGTATTTACTTATACTGTACAGGAAATATTTATTTCGTTAACTTTAACGAAAGGTATCTCTGAGTTTCTGTGAATTTATTGCGGTGACCGAGGGATCTCTGTTGTGCCAGGAAGTTTCCGAAGAAATAAATTATTTGCCAATTTGGCGACTGTTCCCCGGAGACTGAGCCGTCGACGGACGGGACAAAGAGCGGAAACAATGTTTTTATTTTGACATTGTTATCAAAAGTATAATATAAAATCTCTCGAAATAAATCGTTTGAGAGATCAGGCTTAATACTTAGGATATAACCATAATAAACTATGAATTAAGTAGGTAGTAAAGTCGTCCATTTACGTTTAGATTGTAGGTATTCTTCTATTTTATGGCCACGAATAGCAGTCTCCATAGTATTTTTCAATTTTTTTTTACACTCACACCAATTAGCCTAGCCCCAAAGTAAGCACTGTAAGGCTTGTGTTATGGGATGCTAGGGTAACGGATAGAATACATATACTGTACAAATATATAAGTATATTTATATAGAAATACATATTAAACATCCTTGACTGGAGTACAAATGCTCGTATTCATCACACAAACATCTGCCCCCACCGGGATTCGAACCCGGGATCTCTCGAGTCGGCGACACCATGAAACTCGGCTTACAAACCACTCGGCCACGGATATCGTCAAACTTTTACTGTAACTCGAAATTTTTAAGTTTGATTTAATTCTCTTTTTATTTTACAACAGAAACATTACATAGAGCGTAGGATATTTCTTAAATTAACTTAGACTAGCGTAAGGATCATAAAAGCTGATCTATGTGATGTGTAAGCAATTCCAAGCTACTGTCCGACATTTTTTCCCCGCTGAATAAGTGGTCCCGGTCTATAGAATGTTCCGAGAACTCCCCACAAGGACCGCGGCACGGTTCCATTATTTCTCGGAACCGCAATTAGGGGCAGACGTCCCGGGGGCGAACGGGAAGTATGGAACGGCTCATAATCACCCAGACTCAAGTAGTTATATTTCTTACGCAGATGCAATAAAGTGATAAGGACGAAATAAATTAGTTGCTCACCGAAATCAGCACAAAAAATGACGTTGAATTACATATATGTATATTCATAAAAGACGTTCTTGTTTGATACAGAATTGACTCACTGAATCAATTAATTATGCTTTTTAACGTACCGCAGTATATTTTGTTAAAACTTCTTGATTGTTGCATTTTGATTTAGTACATTTTTTTATGTTATAGGGGGCATACGAGCAGACGTCTCACCTGATGGTAAGTGATTACCGTCGCCCATGGACACTTGCAACACCAGGAGTATCACAAATGCGATGCCGGCCTTTAAGGAAGGAGTACGCTCTTTTTTTGATGGTTTTTGGGTCGTATTGATCCAGAAACACTGCTGGCGACAATATATTCCACAGTTTTGTCGTACGTGGTAAAAAATTTCGACAAAAACGCACGGTTGTGGATAGCCACGCATCAAGATGATGGGGATGAAATTTTTGTCGCGATGTACAGTACATTCTCGATCTATTGAGCACACCAAGCTTATTAGAGGCCAATTTGGCCTTGCCCTCTAAATGATCCCGAAACTGGACGTCACTCGATATGTCAACGCCAAGAATGCCAATACTAGCTGAGGCAGTTAGAGGAGTGTTCTCAAAAAGAGGAATTTAATTTCATAAAAGTTTTTTATCTATCTATACTTATAATAAATCTGTAG